AAGGACGTTGCCCAGGGGACGCCCGGATGATTTGATGTTTTATCATCCTTGTGGGAGGCTTCTCTCATGTCCCCGCCTGAGGAGCTGGAGCTGATAGAGGGAGCTCATCCGCCTCTCCCCGGATTCGAACCTGCGACCTGTCGGTCTTCAGTCCTGCCGGCACAGGGGTTTAACCCACTGCACCACCAGGGGCTCCTGCACAGAGATAACACCCAACTCCAAATCTCCAAACCCTGATCTCGCCCGGAAACACCAGGCTCAACCAAAAAATCCTTGGCCTCATCCTCAGAGGCTTCACAGACCTCAACAACATCTCATTTAAAGGAATAGCTGGACAAAAGAAAGTGACCAAACTTTGGTAGAAAGGTCCCTCGTGCTGACTTGGACGCGGAACAATGGCTTCAAACTACAAGAGAGGAGATTCCATCTGAACATGAGGAAGAACTTCCTGACTGTGAGAGCCGTTCAGCAGTGGAACTCTCTGCCCCGGAGTGTGGTGGAGGCTCCTTCTTTGGAAGCTTTTAAACAGGAGGCTGGGTGGCCATCTGTCAGGGGTGATTTGAATGCAATATTCCTGCTTCTTGGCAGAATGGGGTTGGACTGGATGGCCCATGAGGTCTCTTCCAACTCTTTGATTCTATGATTCTACGACTCTCGTGTCTCCCTGTGAGTAAGGCACACGGGGGGGGGGGGGTCATGACACCCCTTCTCTCTACAGCAAAAGAGAGATAACAAACCGTTATCTGGTGGGAAGGTCAAGAAAAATGCTTTCCTTTCAGTTTTTGGATTCATGGGTTAGAGTTGCTCAGTTGGGTCAACGTTGTTATTTTATCACGGTCTTGCTTTCAAGGGCTCTGAGTTTCGTATACCAAGATTTTGCCAAACTCAAGATTTGTCTATGAGATTTTCTAAGTGCCTACTTTCATGGATTTTTATGTACTCTTGATTTATTTATGTATTTATTTACTACATTTATATACCGCCCCTCTCAGCCTGCAGGCGACTCAGGGCGGTTCTTGTTTTCCTATAACGCTGGTGGACTATTTCTTATATTAGATATTTACTGTTTTTGCTATCTTTTACTGCTTTGCTTATATATAACCATCAATAAACTGCTTGCTGATTTTACCAAGCTGGTGTAGTGTCTAAGGTCAGAGGTGTTCCTGGTCTGGGGTACGACACTTCTGTAGAATTAGCAAAGAGAGATCTGTGCCTGGGAATCTCTCGTTCCTGCTTTCCCTGGGAAAACGCTTTCCAAAAGTCTCCCTTTGCATTTCTGAGGGACGAGTGACAGAAAAATGGAAACCAGCGGAGGGTTAAATCTGCAAAGGGAGCAGCAGTCCCGCGGGGCATTTTGAAGGGAACCGGGAGGCAGGAGGGAGATGCAGGATGGAGAAACAAACGGGGACGTTAGTTGGCCGGGGCTCCCAATTTGGCTGCGAGGAAGGCAGGACAAAGAGCCGGCCTCCGCGGTGCTCAGAAGAGGCCAAGGGGAGAACAAGGACCACCTTCAAAGGATGGCACGGAAGGGCAGGACCATTGTGTGTCCGCAGCAGAGCAATTAAGAAAGAAACCTTGTTTGAATGGCAACCAATTGGGAGCAGGGGAGGGTGCACCCTAAGGACTCTTATGTAAGGGCCACTCGGAGAGCGCATCACGTCCCGCTCAGATCCGAAATTCGTTCACTAAGGATCCCCCTCCTTGAGGGTTGGCCACTTTGGTCCCTGGACGGCACCTTTCGAGACATGGGTCACCGTGGGGCAGCACCTTCCTCTTGCACAGCAGCCAGGGTTCAGAGACAGGGCAAACAGCCCCGTTCCCCCTACAATTTTGCTCTGGTTGCCCGCAAGCACGCAGCCGTGCCAGCCTTGCCAACCAACCCTGACGCTCAGAAACAGCTGGGGAGGCTTTGGAGGTTTCCCCCCATCAAACTCCAAAGAGCTTTGCTTCCAAAACTGAGTTTTGCTGGAGAGAGGAAGGGAAGCCGAAGCCCAAGTAGCGCTGCCTTCCTTCCTTCCTTCCTGGCAGGACAGAAGGAGAGAAGAGGGCACGCGGCCAGCACTCCTCTCCCCTCGGCCCGGCTGAGCCTCCTTCCCGTCTCCCAGGGAGCCGAGCCCACAGCTGCCTGCCTTCGCTGGCATGGATCAAAGAGCGCTCCCTTCGCCAAGTGTTTGGCCCTCCCGCACCGGCCACCCCGCTCCGCAGGTGCTGGACAACACAGAACGGATGCTTCCTCTCTGTTGTATCCCACAGCAGGAACACCTCTGGCCTTCAACACCATGCCAGTTCAGTATAACCAGCAAGCAGTTTATTGAAAGATATATGCAAGCAAAACAATAAAAATGATAGAAACAGTATATCCCAAAACTGTGTTTTCCAAAGGTAGCAAATAGTCCTTGAACTTCAAGGTGCAAAGGTAAAAACACAAGACCCAAGGATGCAAAATCCGAACGAACAAGACCAACACCTAGAAGAGGAACCTGGCAAAACTTGAAACATGAAGAAAATCCACTTGGAAACAAGATGGTCATGAAAATTCAGTGTTGACCAGACGGAGCTAAAATCCTTTCTCTGTCTCATATAAAGCCTTTCCTGTCTCATGAAGCAAAAGGAAAACATTCCACTCACTTTTATAACCAGATAAGGATTTCTTTTCTCTCTTTTCTAATAGACAGGCTGACCTTTGGAGAGCTTGAGAACTTTCTCTTAGTTTACCAAAGTCTATCTTCAATCTCATTAACTTCTACACGTGACAATTCATCTTCAGAAGACAGTTGCTCAGAGAAAGGCTGCCATGGGCCTTGAGAATCTACAGGAGAAGCAAGGCCAGAACCAGGCCTATCAACAAGACAGATCCAGGAAAACCATCTTCCCCACTGACATCAGATCACAGGCTAAACTACAACACTCTCCTTTCTGGCTCTGATATTGGAACCCAACCCACAGCAAGACCATGGTCAGCCCTTTGGCCACTGCCCGCCTCAAAACCTCTGGGTGGTTGCTCTCTCCACAGGAAGAGAGAGCTTGAGAACTTTCTCTTAGTTTATAAAAGTCTTGTCTTCTATTTTCAATCTCATTAACTTCTGCACCTGACAATTCATCCTCAGAAGAGAGTTCCTCAGAGAAAGGCTGCCGTGGGCCCTGTTCAGGAATTTGGCCTTCAGATCTACAGGAGAAGCACTCCGTTCATTAGAAACCTTGGGTCTCTCAGCAAGGCCAGAACCAGGTCTATCAACAAGACCAGGACTTGACAACTCAGGTCCAGGAAAACCATAATCCCCACTGACATCAGACTCAGGCCCAGGAAAACCATCATCCCCACTGACATCAGACACAATCACAGGCTGAACCACAACACTCTCCTTCTGGAACCCAACCCACAACAAGACCTTCAAATGGTCAGCCCTTCGTCCACTGCCCCCCTCAAAGCCTCTGGGTGGTCGCTCTCTCCACAGGAAGGGATACCTGTCTTGCAGTCTGGGTGGGGATCACTGAGCAAAGCAAAATATGGAGGCAACGAGAGAATCCATCTCTTTGGTCAAAGTCCAGGCCTTGGTCTGAGAATCATAGAACAATAGAGTAGGAAAAGACCACATGGGCCATCTAGTCCAACCCCATTCTGCCATGCAAGAAAAGCACCATCAAAGTATCCGTGAGAGATTGCCATCCAGCCTTTGTTCAGTGGTTTCCAACCTGTGGTCTGTGGACTACTAGTGGTCCACAGGAACGAGTCACCATCACTACACCGTTGCCTCGAAATCATGTGGCAATGAGAGGGACTGGTCATGTGAAACCGTCTTATCGTGCCGAGGCAACGGGGATGTTGGGAGGAGAGAGGCGGAGTAACCACGAAAGATGACTACTACCATGTCAGCTCTAGATTATTAAATATCATTTTCTGTGGGCGAGCAGATGGCGACTCCTGGGTGGCATATGTTCTGTATCAGAAGCTACTGATGTAGTCTATCCAATGCAAGTTTCTGAATCAACACCCCAATTAACCAAGGTGAATCTAAAGTTGAGCAAAAACAGATTCGTAACCCTTTTGGTACTCATGTTGGAGAGTAGTCTCTGGTCCAAGTGGTCCCTGGTCAAAAAAAAAGGTTGGGATCCACTGGTTTAAAACCACTGGACTTCCACTGGACTCCTAGGCAGAGAGTTCCACTGCTGAACAGCCCTTCTTACAGTCAGGAAGTTTTTCCTAGTGTTCAGGTGGAATCTCGTCTCCTGTCTTTTGAACCCATGGTTCCATTGAGGCCTAGTTTCCTCAATGACAGATGGCCATCCCTGACAGATGACCACCGAGCCTCTGTTTCAAAGCCTCCAAGGAAGTAGCTTCCACCGGACTCTGAGGCAGAGCACTCCACTGCTGAACAGCTCTTCTTGCAGTCAGGAAGTTCTCCCTAATGTTCAGGTGGAATCATCTCTCCCTGTCATTCAAACCCATGGCTCCTTTGAGGCCTAGTTTCCTCAACGACAGATGACCACCCAGCCTCTGTTTCAAAGCTTCCAAGGAAGGAGTTTCCACCAGACTCCGAGGCAGAGAGTTCCACTTCTGAACAGCCCTTCTTACAATCAAGAAGTTCTTCCGGACATTCAGGTGGAATCTCCTCTCCTGTTATTTGAGCCCATGGCTCCATTGAGGCCTAGCTTCCAGGACAACAGAAAACAAACCCTCTCCTTCTTCCTTTGGACATCCTTTCACATATTTCTACATGACTCCTCTCCTGTCTCTTCTCAACCTTCTCTTTCTTCCACAAGCTAAACAGAGCCAGCTCTTTAGGATGTTCCTCAAAGGGATTATTCAAGGTCTCCAGACCTTTGACTCTTTAGTACTGGGCCCAGGACCAGACCCTGCAGTTCTCCAGAAGTCGCTTCTTTCCAGAATGAAGTGGAACCAGAAAATAAGAGACCTTTCTTGGAAGGGCCGTTTCCCCTCCTGAGTCTTAGTGGGGAACGGACTCCTCAGAGATCCTCCGCCCGCCTCTGCGCAGCCCCAGCCTTGTCCCCAAAGCTCACCTGATGATGAAGGCTCCCCGCGTCTCCAGCAGCTTCCGCTCGCTGCTGAACCTCTTCAGCAAGTTGATCATGAACTTGTAAAAGTAGGAGTTCATGGTGGGTGTGGTGGGCGAGACCTCCATGGAACCCTTGGCGCCTGCAAAGAGGAGGAGGAGGAGGAGGAGGAGGAGAGGCCATTAGGAATAATAGAAACCTAGGTTGGAAGAGAGCTGGTGGGCCATCATCCAGTCTTGGCAGAAGAGGGAAAATCGCAGAGCAATGGCTTCAAACTACAAGAAAGGGGATTCCACCTGAACATGAGGAAGAACTTCCTGACTGTGAGAGCTGTTCAGCAGTGGAACTCTCTGCCCCGGAGAGAGTATGGTGGAGGCTCCTTCTTTGGAGGTTTTGAGTCCGAGGCTGGATGGCCATCTGTTGGGGGTGCTTTGAAGGCGATTATCCTGCTTCTTGGACTGGATGGTGGCCCATGGGGTCTCTTCCAACTCTAGGATTCTAAAGCACCCCCAACAACTAGATCGAGCGTATGTCCAGCCTGATGGGTGGGTCCAGATATAACTTGTGATAGCCCCATGGTCGTCATGGCGACCATGAAGTCCTGAACTGCTCCTGTTAAAGAGGTCTCTGCATGGATGTTAAAGTCTCCCAGCACAATCAGGTGTTGGGAGACCAGAGCCGAATTGGAGACCACATCTGCTAGCTCAGGCAGGGAAACTGCTGAGTCGCGGGGTGGGCGGTACACCAGCAGAATCCCCAAGCTATCACGGTTTCCCACCCTCAAGTGAACACACTCAAACCCAGAAGATTGCAGAACAGCACATCTGAGCACGGCGATGGACTGCTGAAAGACTACTGCAACCCCTCCTCCCCGCCCCCAGACCTAGCCTGTTGGTGCACCCCGAAACCAGGTGGGCATAACTGGGTGAGATTTACCCCCCCCCAGCTCGTCCAACCAGGTCTCGGTGATGCAAGCCAGGTCTAGATCAAATCCTGGATGGTAGCTGTCTTTCCATTGACGGATCTGGCATTTACCAGCAGGACCTTAAGACCGAGGGGTCTGTCATGGAGTCTACCAATTCCTACCTTCTCCAGGGTCACAAGAACTCTGTTGCGCTTCTCCCTGGGCTGTTGGTGACCAGCAAATCTTCTCCCCCACACGACCTGAATGGTACCCCTCTCCTCCAGAAACCCTCCCTGCCCCAGGGAATTAGATTCAATGGCTAGTCAACTCTCTACTCTCTCTCTAGATCTTGATGTCCATCAATAGGAGTCTAATATCTAGATCCTGGATCTAGATACTAGACTCCTATTGATGTTGACCCAAGTCCCACTGGCTTTAAGCTGCCATATGACATTCCTGGGTCATGTATAACTTGAGGAAGCCAACCCTCAAAGGACATCCGGGAACCAGCACCCAGGAGGCCCTGCCCTGCATGCTCACTTCTTCTCAATGCCTTTGCAGCATCGAAACTGCATGCTCAGGCCTATCCTTTGGTACAGAGTGTCACAAAGGGGGGAATGGGGGGGAGAGGACTGGCATTGAGGGGGATCTTTGACTGGGGTTGAGCTGGAAGCAGCGCATGTGCACACAAGCACATTGGCACAGCATGGCCTGCTTAGGAGATAAGAGCAGGGTGCCCATAATAATAATAATAATAATAATAATAATAATAATAATAACAATAATAATATTTTTTGTCGTGTCAGGAGCAACTTGAGAAACTGCAATAATAATAATAATAATAATAATAAATAATAATAATAATAATTTTTGTCGTGTCAAGAGCAACTTGAGAAACTGCAATAATAATAATAATAATAATAATAATAATAATATTTATTTATTTATACCCCGCCACCATCTCCCCAATGGGGACTCGAAGCGGCTTACATGGGGCCAAGCCCGGACAACATATTACAGCAAAATAGAAGCAAAGCATAAACAACAAGCAACATCATCAAAATTACATAGAAAAAAAAAGTATAACATAGTCATAAAATAACATTCCAATAAACACAATCATGATAACAATGGGTGGGCCACGTGTACAAGATAAAACGATTAAAATCTAAAAATAGGAGCAGGTTATTTGCAGGGAACTCATAAAAACAAGCAGAGTTGTGAAGCTAAACTTCCCATTAGGAGGGCAAAAAGCATTGAGGGGTGCAATGGTGTCATGTTGTGCCCCTACTCGCCAAAGGCGCAGCGGAAGAGCCGGGTTTTAAGGTCCTTTTCGAACGTTTCTAGTGATGGGGCTTTCCTGATCTCTCCAGGCAATGAGTTCCAAAGTCGGGGAGCCACAGAGGAGAAGGCTCTCTCCCTTGTACCCACAAGGCGAGCCTGTGAGATTGGTAGGGGTGAAACGAGGGCCTCCCCCGAAGATCGAAGGGCCTGGGTTGGTACGTGGAGAGAGATATGGTCACGAAGGTAGGCGGGTCCCAAACCCATGGAGGGAAGCTGGGGAAAAGGCTGGGCTTATGGGGAGAGACCCTCAAAGTGTGGCATCACAAGGCATTGGGGCAAAAGGCTGGACCACAGAACGACAAGAGAGAATTCCGCACGGACACCACAAGCGGGTCAAGGACATCACGCCAGAGGGAGGAGCTGCTTATGATGCACCAAAGCAGAAGAGACTTCCCTTGGGCCAGACACTCTCCTCCTTTGGGTGCAGCCCAGAATCCCACTGGCTTTTTGAACTGTGTCATCCTCCATGATGACATGATGGCAACAGTCTTGGACAGCCATGGCTCCCAAAGTGACCCATTTAAGGTGGAATCAGGTGTCAAACAGGAATGATGTGTTACTGCCCCAATCTTATTTTCCATCTTCATTGCTATGATACTTCATCTTGTTGCCAGAAAGCTTCCCACCGGAGTGGAAATCATATATGGGACAGACGGCAAGCTGTTTAACCTCAGCAGACTGAAAGCCAAAACCAAGGTCACAACAACATCTGTTATAGCACTCTAGTATGCTGATGACAATGTTGTCTGTGCGCATTCAGAAGAATACCTACAATGGCTTCAAACTACAAGAGAGGAGATTCCATCTGAACATTAGGAAGAACTTCCTGACTGTGAGAGCCGTTCAGCAGTGGAACTCTCTGCCCCGGAGGCTCCTTCTTTGGAAGCTTTTAAGCAGAGGCTGGATGGCCATCTGTCAGGGGTGATTTGAATGCAATATTCCTGCTTCTTGGCAGAATGGGGTTGGACTGGATGGCCCAGGAGGTCTCTTCCAATTCTTTGATTCTATGATTCTATGATGCTATGATCCTCAGACTATGAGGGATCGCCTAAGTAAGTAAGTACTCCAGTGGCAAAAAGCATTGAGGGGTGCAATGGTGTCATGTTGTGCACCTACTCGCCAAAGGCGCAACAGAAGAGCCGAGTTTTAAAGTCCCCTTTGAACGTTTCTAGTGAAGGGGCTTTCCTGATCTCTCCGGGTAACGAGTTCCAAAGTCGGGGAGCCACAGAGGAGAAGGCTCTCTCCCTTGTGCCCACAAGTCGAGCCTATGAGATTGGTAGGGGTGAAAGGAGGGCCTCCCCCGAAGATCGAAGGGCCCGGGTTGGTATGTGGAGAGAGATACGGTCATGAAGGCAGGCAGGTCCCAAACCCATGGAAGGAAGCTGGGGAGAAGGCTGGGCTTATGGGGAGAGACCCTCAAAGCGTGGCATCACATGGCATTGGGGCAAAAGGCTGGACCGCAGGACGACAAGAGAGAATCCCCCACGGACACCACAAGCGGGTCAAGGACATCATGTCAAAGGGAGGAGCTGCTTGTGATGCACCAAAGCAGAAGAGACTTCCCTTGGGCCAGACACTCTCCTCCTTTGGGTGCAGCCCAGAATCCCACTGGCTTTTTGAGTTGTGGCATCACACTCCTGGCTCACGCGCCACTTGTTGTCCACTGAGAGCCCACTGAAGCCTTTGCCCTCCCCTTCCTCCACAAGCGAGGGCTGCAAAGGGAGAGGCCCAGTGCCGGAGCATTGCAAGCGCTGGGCCTGGACCGAGGCGGAGGAGTCCGCCAAGGCACGAGGCCGGAGCCAAGGCCGCTAAGTGGAACCCGATGGGCCCGAGGCGCCTTCCAGCAAGTTGCTCCAGGAAGTTCTGCTTTGTCAAGAACATCACACGGCGGAGAGTTAAAAATAGACTTGCTCAGAGCGCAAAAACAGGCTCGCACCAAAACAGATGTTCAGGCAGAGATGCCCCAGGCGCACTCCGTCCCACACTCCTGACAGCCACGCAAGGGGGAAGCCCTCACACACGGCCCCTCTTGGAACAACAACAACAACACTAAGTGGGTTGTTGTGAGTATCCTGGGCTGCCTGCAAAACGCTCCAGAAGGCCACTTTGGGCAAGGAGGCCCTTACCATCACCCTAACCCTTACCCTCCTCCTCCTGGTCTGCAGGCACCCTCTGCCCCCCACCATGCCTCCGTCTGGAGCCTATTTTGCAGGCGAGGGGAACCTGGAGGAGCACAAGGGGCTGGCTTGGTGGCATCTGCCGCCTCCCTGACCTCTCCCTCCCTTCCTCTGGGGAAGTCAATTAGCTTCTTTTAATGGGGTCAGAATAACGGGAGGAGGGGGCAGAGGCCACACGTTGAGCAAAGTGGGGTTTCTTTACCACCTCTGGGACGTGGGGTGGTTTCTGGGCTGCGTGGCCAATGTGCCCGAGCAGCATTTTCTCCTCCCGATGTTTCACTGCATCTGTGGCTAATGGCATCTTCAGAAGATCTGATGGGAGTCAAGCAAGTGGAGTGTATGTGATACACACACACACACACACACACCCCTGTGGAATAATGTCTAGGGTGGGAGGAAAGAACCACTGTCTGTTAAACAAGTGCGAAGAGCGCCGTGAGCAAGTCTTGAGTGGGATCCACCCACTAGCAGGTGAGAAAACATGAAAGTGGCATAGTCCATGGGTGAGGGTGTCTGCCTAGAAGTAGCCTGGCCTTGGTTCCTGTTGAATTGTTTACTGCCTGGAGACATCCTTTGCCTGGGTGGTGTCACCATCGGATCCTCTGAAGATACCAGCCAGGCACCCAAATACCTGGGAGTCACTCTGGACCGCTCTCTGACCTACAAGAAGCACTGCCTGAACATCAAGCAAAAAGTGGGTGCTAGAAAGAATATCATACGAAAGCTGACTGGCACAACCTGGGGATCACAACCAGATACAGTGAAGACATCTGCCCTTGCGCTATGCTACTCTGCTGCTGAGTACGCATGCCCAGTGTGGAACACATCTCACCACGCTAAAACAGTGGATGTGGCTCTTAATGAGACATGCCGCATTATCACGGGGTGCCTGCGCCCTACACCACTGGAGAAATTACACTGCTTAGCCGGTATTGCACCACCTGACATCCGCCGGGAAGTAGCAGCCAATAGTGAAAGGACCAAGGCAGAGACATCTCCAGCTCATCCCCTGTTTGGGTCTCAGCCAGCACGCCAACGACTTAAATCTAGACATAGTTTTCTAAGATCTACAGAGACACTCGCTGGAACACCTCAGCAAGCGAGAGTCCAAAAGTGGCAGGCTCAAACCCAGCACCTCAATCCGTGGGTGATACCAGATGAGAGACCCCCCCCCCCCGGGCACACAGAAGAAGATGGGGTGACTTGGAAGGTGTTGAACACGCTGTGCTCTGGCACCACGAGATGCAGAGCCAACCTTCAGAAACGGGGCCACAAAGTGGAATCCTCAGCATGCGAGTGCAGAGAAGAGCAAACCACTGACCACCTGCTGCCATGCAACCTGAGCCCTGCCACATGCACGATGGAGGACCCTTGCGGCAACACCAGAGGCACTCCAAGTGGCCAGAGACTGGTCAAAGGACATTTAATCAGCTACCAAGTTTGCAAAATTTGTGTTTTGTTTTTTTTTATCTGTTTGTTTGTTTTGTTCTGTTAGAAATGTAATACAATGTTCTGGTTGCGGATGACACGATAGATAAATAAATAAACCAGCCAGGCAAAACGTCAGGAGAAAATGCTGCTAGAACATATTGGCCACACAACCTGGAAACCGCACGACACCTCAGTGATCCCAGCCTTTGACAATACACACAGAGACATGCATATCCTCCTTTGTTTGAAGGCAAGCACCTTGAGGGCGTGCAGTGTCTGGGGTGGATCCCGCCGGCCCGGCTCTGAGAGCGGGAGGGGCCTTCACATGATGCGGCAGCTGACCCCGCCAGCGCTCTGCCTCTCCTGCGCCAGCGCATCACAAGGCCGCCCGGCCTTTGAAGAGGAAAGTCATGGGTTGGGAGGCGCAAAAGAGACCCTTCTCTCGGAGCGCCTTGGAGCAGCCGCTTCTGGCCGGGAAGAAGGCGCCCCGTCACAGGGCTTGTGTTGTTGTGCAACCACAAAGGCCGGCTTCATGCAGAGCAAAAGATGGCCCCCAGGAAGCCTTGGGCAAGCGGGATCCATGCGCCCACAGCCCTGGTTGCTGCTTAGAAGCAGAAAGCGGAGCCTCAGAGGGACAGAAGGCCCACCACGAATGCAAAGCCCAAGCACAACCCATTACCAACAGCAGGGAAGAGGGGCACCTCCCTTGATATTGTGGGCCAAGGCAAGCCAGTGCAGAAGTGGCGCAACAGGAACGCGTGGCAGCTCATATTCTGAACATGCACATCATCATAATCATCATCATCATAATAACAACAACCTGGAATATTGTGTCCAACTCTGGGCACCACAACTGAAGAGAGATATTGACAAGTTTAACCCCAGCAGACTGAAAGCCAAAACCAAAGTTACAACAACATCTGTTATAGGACTCCAGTATGCTGACGACAATGTCTTGTGCGCATTCAGAAGAAGATCTACAAGCCACTCTAAACACCTTCGCAGAAGCATACGAGAAGCTCGGCCTGTCATTGAACATGGAGAAAACCAAAGTGCTCTTCCAGCAGTCACCAGCCATCCCCTCCCCAATGCCAGAGATACAGCTTAATGGTGTCACATTAGAAAACGTTGACCATTTCTGCTCCCTTGGCAGCCACCTCTCCACCAAAGTCAACACCGACACCGAAATACAACACCGCCTGAGCTCTGCAAGTGCAGCATTTTCCCGAATGAAGGAGAGAGTGTTTGATAACCGGGACATCCATAGGGGTACCAAGGTGCTTCTCTATAGAGCAATTGTCCTCCCAACTCTGCTATACGCCTGCGAAACGTGGACTGTCTACAGATGTCAACACTGACACTGAAATACAACACCACTTGAGCTCTGCAGAGTGCAGCATTTTCCCGAATAAAGCAGAGAGTGTTTGAGGACCAGGACATCCGTAGGGAGACCAAGGTGCTTCTCTATAGAGCAATTGGCAGAGAGTGTTTGAGTGTTTGACATCCGTAGGGATACCAAGGTGCTTGTCTATAAAGCTATTGTCCTCCCAACCCTGCTCTATGTTTGCGAAACGTGGACTGTCTACAGATGTCACATGCAACTCCTGGAATGATTCCATCAGCGCTGCCTCCAGAAAATCCTGCAAATCTCTTGGGAAGACAAGCGGACAAACGTCAGCGTGCTGGAAGAAGCAAAGACCACCAGCATTGAAGCAATGGTCCTCTGCACCATCAACTCCACTGGGCCGGCCACGTTGTCCGGATGCCTGACCACCATCTCCCAAAGCAGTTGCTCTACTCCGAACTTAAGAACGGAAAACGGAATGTTGGTGGACAGGAAAAGAGATTTAAAGATGGGCTCAAAGCCAACCTTAAACACTCTGGCATAGACACTGAGAACTGGGAAGCCCTGGCCCTTGAGCGCTCCCGCTGGAGGTCAGCTGTGACCAGCAGTGCTGCAGAATTCGAGGAGGCACGAGTGGAGGGTGAAAGAGAGAAACGTGCCAGGAGGAAGGCGCGCCAAGCCAACCCTGACCGGGGCCGCCTTCCACCTGGAAAGCAATGCCCTCACTGCGGGAGAAGATGTGGGTCAAGAATAGGGCTCCACAGCCACATACAAACCCACAAAAGCAGTCATCAAGGAAGATCGTCTTACTCGTCCAACGAGGGATTGCCTAAGTCAAGTCAAGGTTTCAGACCGGGACATGGAACTGAGACAGCCATGGTCGCCTTAGTGGATGATCTCTGCAGAGAGCTCGACCGGAGGAGGAGTGTGTACGTGTTGGTCCTCTTGGACCTCTCAGTGGCCTTCGATACCGTAGACCACAGGGTCCTTCTGGGCCTTAGAGGGACTGCTCTGCAGTGGCTCTGGTCCTTCCTGGAGGGTTGTACCCAGAAGAGGTTGCTGGGGGACTCCTGCTCGGCCCCACAGTCCTTTTCCTGTGGGGTCCCGCAGGGCTCTATACTGTCCCCCATGTTGTTTAACATCTACATGAAGCTGCTGGGGGAGATCATCCGGAATTTTGGAGTCCGATGCCATCTGTATGCAGGTGACGCCCAACTCTATCGCTCATTTCCACCAGATGCGAAGGAGGCTGTCCAAGTCCTGAACCGGTGCCTGGCCGCTGTGATGGTCTGGATGAGTGTGAGCACACTGAAGTTGAATCCAGACAAGACAGAGGTCCTCCTGGTCAGTTGCAAGGCCGAACAGGGTCTAGGGTCGCAACCTGTGCTGGATGGAAGGGGTCACACTCCCCTTGGGGGTCCTCCTGGACTCAACATTGAGCCTGGAATCTCAGGTTGCGGAAGTGGCCAGGGTAGCGTTCGCACAATTAAAACTTGTGTGCCAGCTGCGCCCTTGCGTTGGGAGGTCAGACTTGGCCATGGTGGTCCACGCTCTCGTTACATCCAGGATAGACTACTGCAACACACTCTATGTGGGGCAGCCTTTGAAGACTGCTCGCAAGCTTCAAATAGTCCAATGAGAGGCAGCCAGGTTAATAACTGGGGCAGCATAGAGGGAGCACACCACTCCCGTGTTACGCCAGCTCCACTGGCTGCCTGTTTGCTACCGGGCACAATCCAAAGTGCTGGCTTTGGCCTATCAAGCCCTAAACGCCCCTGACCCAAATTACCTGTCCGAACACATCTCCCCCTATGAACCATTGCAGAGATTAAGATCTTCCAGGGAGGCTCTGCTTTCCGTCCCGCCATTGTCACAGGGATGAGAGACAGGGCCTGCTTGGTGATTGCTCCCCGGCTATGGAACTCCCATCCTGGTCGGCCCCCTCTCTCTTGTCCTTTAGAAGGATGGTCAAAACTTGGCTGTGGGACCAAGCTTTTGGACCAGGGAAGATGGGCGCCTCCCTTGAGGGCCAAGGCAAGCTGGTTCAGAAGTGGGTTCTATAGACTATAGGGAACCACTGATCACCCTTGGGATGACTACGTTTTGTGCTGCGGCTGATTGTGGGTGGTTTTAAAGGATAGTCTCTAAAGAAACAACAACAACAGCAGCAGCAAATCCCCCCGGCCTGCCCAAAGCAGCCTACTCGAAGCCTTCCATACCCTCTTTCAGGTGAACTCAAGAGGAGAGAGAAGGGCTCTCAGACCTTGGGGACCCTTCCTGCCAGAGAGCCATTTGCTCCTTCCTTCCTACCTTCCTTCCTTCCTTCCTTCCTTCCCAAAGGGAGCCACAAGCAGAGGCGAGGTGCTTACCAGAGGGTCCCGAGGAGGCCGCTTTGGCCGGAGCCGGGAGGGGCACCTCCAGCTGCCCTGAGCGTGGGTTGGGGGCATCGCCAGACCCCGGGTCTTCGCTCTGCCCGGCCGGAGAGGAGGCAATCTCCGCCAAGACTTCCAGGTCCTTCAGGATCACCTGGAGGTAGAAAGAGATGGCTTTTACCCTAGTGTTGCAACCCAGAGCAGGAAACGAGACCATGAGATAACAATCCACCACACTTGACTGTGGGAAAAAACAATCCCTTTTTATTGATGAAAAATGGTTACAAAATAGAGGAAAATTGCAAAGTCAAAAAGCCACAGTAAAATTCAGCAGTCAGGAATATCCATGAACTAGATCAAAATCCAAAAGCAACACTGTAAAATCCTGGAACCTGTTAGCAAACCACTAACTGTACTTGGAGCACTAGAAGCCTCTTGGGATGTAGGCCACGGGAAACGGGAAATCTGCCAAGGTAATGTCTCAGTCTAAACGATGCCTGATCTAATGAGACACTTAAAACTGAAGAAACTGTTTCGGGACACGCCTCCAGGCTTTGAAGCCTGTGTTTCCTTTTCCCTTAATCTGCTTGACCTTCGCAGACTCTGCGATTCACTCCTGTTTTTCCAAATCTGTCCTTTTCTATCCTCATTAAGGAAGCCAGGTGTTAGCTCCTCTGGAGAGCTATCACCGCTTGGCTCTGCAACATTCTCATCAGAATGTGTAGTTTCACTTTCCAAGCCACTGACCTCAGAATCATTTTCATTACCCTCAGGGAGAAATACATTTTCAGTAGCATCAGGAAAGACAATCAGAGAATCAGGTTCAGGTTCACACGCAGGCTGAACCCCAACACCTAGAGCTGGGGCTAGGCTGAACTCCATTGGCTTTGCACTGACGTGGCCTTGGAGGCTGTGAAAGAGTGATCAGAATGTGGAGGGATGGGTGTGTTGTTTTCGTGGTGGAGAAGGCACTGCATTTCGTCTGCAACAGTACAATGACAATAAAACTATTCTATTCAATTCTATTCTAAGAGAGGACCAGGTGAGGCAACCGAGGAGGAGACAAGAGGCCGGCGTTGGCGCAACATCATGAAAATAATAATAATTTGAGTTCTTACCCGCCTCTCCATGCGGCTCGAGGCAGGTCAAAGCACAGTCAAAGGACACAAACATGTTGGAAATAGCAACCATCTTCAAGCCTCCTATACTAGTTATTGTTATTTATATAATCTAGATTGCTTACTGTACTGTATATATGTGTATTAGTGTGCGGATTTCCGGCAGACCATGTGACCAGATCTGGGGATTGTTCAGACTCAGACTCCAGACCCAGTTTAGAAGTTGGTAGACAAAGAATGCTTCAGAGAAGAGACTCAATTAGAATCTCAGAACAGAGAGATGCTTTAGACCAGGCATGGACAAACTTTAGCCCTCCAGGTGTTGTGGGAGGGGCTGCAGACCATGTGATCAGATCTGGGGATTGTTCAGACTCAGACTCCAGACTCAGTTTAGAAGTTGGTAGACACAGAATGCTTCAGAGAAGAGACTCCATTAGAATCTCAGAACAGAGAGATGCTTTAGACCAGGCATGGACAAACTTCAGCCCTCCAGGTGTTATGGGAGGGGCTGCAGACCATGTGATCAGATCTGGGGATTGTTCAGACTCAGACTCCAGACTCAGTTTAGAAGTTGGTAGACACAGAATGCTTCAGAGAAGAGACTCCATTAGAATCTCAGAACAGAGAGATGCTTTAGACCAGGCATGGACAAACTTCAGCCCTCCAGGTGTTGTGGGAGGGGCTGCAGACCATGTGATCAGATCTGGGGATTGTTCAGACTCAGACTCCAGACTCAGTTTAGAAGTTGGTAGACACAGAATGCTTCAGAGAAGAGACTCCATTAGAATCTCAGAACAGAGAGATGCTTTAGACCAGGCATGGGCAAACTTCGGCCCTCCAGGTGTTGTGGGAGGGGCTGCAGACCATGTGATCAGATCTGGGGATTGTTCAGACTCAGACTCCAGACTCAGTTTAGAAGTTGGTAGACACAGAATGCTTCAGAGAAGAGACTCCATTAGAATCTCAGAACAGAGAGATGCTTTAGACCAGGCATGGGCAAACTTCGGCCCTCCAGGTGTTGTGGGAAGGGTTGCAGACCATGTGATCATATCTGGGGATTGTTCAGACTTAGACTCCAGACTATGACTGTGCGTTTGCATCAGTTTAGAAGAAGGTAGACACAGAATGCTTCAGACAAGAGACTCTATTCGATTCTCGGAACAGAGAGATACTTTAAACCAGGCATGGGCAAACATCAGCCCCCCAGATGTTGTGGGAGGGGCTGCAGACCATGTAACCAGATCTGGGGATTGTTAAGACTCAGACTCCATTTTAGAAGTCAATACTGAGTGTGTTTGCATCAGTTTAGAAGTATGTAAACACAGAATGATTTAAAGAAGAGACTCTATTGGACTCTCAGAAGAAAAAGATGCTTTAGACTAGGCGTGGGCAAGCTTTGGCCCTTCAGATGTTTTGGACTTCAACTCCCACAATTCCTAACAGCCTACCAGCTGTTAGGAATTGTGGGAGTTGAAGTCCAAAACACCTGGAGGGCCCAAGTTTGCCCATTCCTGCTATAGACTTGTGGACTGTTAAGATTCTAATAAAGAAGCCCTGTGCTATCTGAGTTTGTCATTTGGCAGTTGTAGTTGCTGGGATGTATAGTTCACCTACAATCAAAGAGCCTTCTGAACTCCACCAACAATGGGATTTAACTAATCCTGGCACCCAAAAGTCCCATGACTAACAGAAAATACTGGAAGGGTTTGGTGGGCATTGACCTTGAGTTTGGGAGTTGTAGTTCACTTACATCCAGAGAGCAGTGTGGACTCAAACAATGATGGATCTGGACCAACTTTGGCACTAATTCTCACTATGTCCAAATGTGAACACTGGTATAGTTTGGGGGGAAATAGACCTTGACATTTGGGGGTTGTAGTTGCTGGGATTTATAGTTCACCTACAACGAAAGAGCATTCTGAACTCCACCAACAATGGAATTGAACTAATCTTGGTACCCACAACTCCCATGACCAACAGAAAATACCAGAAGGGTTTGGTGGGCATTGACCTTGAGTTTGGGAGTCGTAGTTCACTTCCATCCAGAGAGCACTGTGGATGCAAACAATGATGGATCTGGACCAAACTTGGCATGAATACTCAGTATGCCCAAATGTGAACACTGATGGAGTTTGGGGGAAAATAGATCGTGACATTTGGGGGTTGTAGTTGCTGGGATTTATAGTTCATCTACAATCAGAGAGCATACTGAACTCCACTAATGATGGAATTGAACCAAACTTGGCACACGGAACTCCCATGATCAACAGAAAATACTGGAAGGGTTTGGTGGGCATTGACCTTGAGTTTGGGAGTAGTAGTTCACCTACATCCAGTGAGCACTGTGGACTCATGCAATGATGGATCAGTTCACTTCCATCCAGAGAGCACTGTGGACTCAAACAATGATGGATCTGGACCAAATTTGGCAGTAATGCTCACTATGTCCAAATGTGAACACTGGTGGTGTTTGGGGAAAATAGACCTTGACATTTGGGAGTTGTAGTTGCTGGGATTTATAGTTCACCTACAATCAAAGAGCATTCTGAACCCCGCCAATGATAGAAAGCCACAGCGTGATTGCAACCAGAGGAGAAACCCGGCATTATATCATCACTAAAAAATAAACTGCATCATCCTCTGTGAGGCAAAGAGGGAATCTGCACATCCCTCTGAACTCATAAATAAGGAATGGAAGCCGCTCGCACGTCAAAGAACCGCAGGAGAGTCTTGCTGATCCCGTTATTCCAGCGCATGACGAGCGCCCGCCACTGATCCACAACCCCCATCAACAAGGAAGCCCTTTTCCGTTGCAGAGGGCCAAGGCGGGTTTCTCAACAACAAGGGATCTGGGAAGACCACAAGCGCACTCATGAGTCAACAAGGCAGGCCAGGCAGGAGCCAAAACAAGCCCAGGAGAGCCTCGGCCACATCCACAGGAGCCTCTGCTGCTTTGGCCAGGCCTCGGCATCGCCACCACGGGGAGGAACACTGACCGCTTCTGGGCAACGGACGCCAAGGAGGGGGCGGAGGACAAGCAGGAAGGGGCAAAGGCCTCCAGACTAGTACAGACCGTCCCTTCCAAATCTATGATACTCTCTCTCTCTCTCTCTCTCTCATACACACACACACACATATATATACAAACAGTCCCCAAGTTACAAACATTTGACTGACTAGTTAAGGATGGGGCTGGACTGCATGGCCTTTAGGGGTCCCTTTCAAATCTTTGATACTATGCCTATCTCTCATAAATATATATACACACACACACACATACACACATATATATAGGCCGTCTCCGAGTTACAAACATTTGACTGACAAATGACTCCCACTTAAGAACGAGGCTGGAATGGATGGCCTTTAGGTGTCCCCTCCAAATCTTTGATACTATGCCTATCTCTCATTTATATACACAGACACATGCGCGCACACACACATATATATATAAAGGCCGTCTGTGAGTTACAAACATTTGACTGACAAATGACTCCTAGTTAAGGATGGGGCTGGACTGGATGGCCTTTAGGGGTCCCTTCCAAATCTTTGATACTATGGCTATCTCTCATCTCTCATTCACACACACACACACACACACACACGCACACACACCTCACTCTTTCTGTGTATATATATATATATATATATAGAGAGAGAGAGAGAGAGAGAGATGCCGTCTGTGAGTTACAAACATTTGACTGACAAATGACTCTTAGTTAAGAACAGGGCTGGACTGGATAGCCTTTAGGGGTCCCTTCCAAATCTTTGATACTATGGCTATCTCTCATAAATATATATACTCTCTCTCTCTCTCTCTCTCTCACACACACACACATATATACAGACTATTCCCGAGTTACAAACATTTGACTGACAAACGACTCTTAGTTAAGAACAGGGCTGGGCTGGATGGCCTTTAGGGGTCCCTTCCAAATCCTTGATACTATTCCTATCTCTCATAAAGATACATACACACACACACACACACACACATATATAGGCCATCTCCGAGTTGCAAACATTTGACTGACAA